GGCATTTTTGGTAGTGGGGGAAGGGACCACCCTGTAAGCAGTTTCGGGAAGCTGCCCTAGTGCCAAGATGTACCAGGCTGAACCAATTAGCAATAGAGAGATGCCTCTGTGAATCCATAGCTGTGAAAGGAAGGACTGTCCTGAAAAGAGGAAGGTGGAGAGAACCTGGAGAAGAGGCCATTGACCTGAACAAAAAATGATCACTGGCCTAAACAAAGAGAGAGCTTCGTTGCCAGGAGGAAGGAGGAGGAGGGGGAGGACAGAGAACTTCAGACACCCAGTTCAAGCCTATGGAGTAGAAGAAGGCAAAGGAGGTCCCTGCAGCCCAAGTTCAACAGCGGAGCAGATACCGATGTGTAGGCCATGGAGGACTCCACGCTGGAGCAGAAAAGCTGAGCCAAATGGCAAGTGTGACTGAAATTGGTACCCTAGAAGTGCTCAATGCCAGAGTGGGGGTGGACCCCCAGAACTGGAGGGTGAGGATGTGCGCTGGACCGGAGGCCCATCCGCAGCCATGGATGTCCCCATGCCAGAGCTGGGGGCTAAGCCCAAAGGGGTCCATGACTCCATGGGAAGCTCGTGTTGGAACATCTTGTTCCTGGACTTTCGTGCCGGGAAGAGCTGCAGAGGTGAACTGACTGCAGTCCCCATTCCCTGTCCCCTGTGCCGCTGCAGGGGAAGAAGGTAGAGAAATTGGGAGCAAAGTGATTTGAGCCCAAGAAGAAGGGAGGGGTGAGGGAGGGAAGGTGTTGTAAGATGCAGTTGTTATGTCTCACTGTGCTACTTGGATGAATGGCAACAAATTAAATTGATTTTTCTTCCCCAAGTTGAGTCTGTTTTGCCTGTGACCACAACTGGTGAGTGAGTCATCCCTGTCCTCATCCTGATTTGTGCCCCCTTTGTGGTGATTCCCTTCCCATCTCACAGGGTGGGGGAAGTGAGTGCAGGACCTCATGGTCTACCTATGGGTTAAACTGCCACAGTGAGGCATTAGGTTTTCTTTTGATAGAGATGGACACGTGCAGCTAAAAAAAAAGCATGGGAAAGGAGACTAAAAACAGCTGGCAAAAATGAAGAAGCTGAAAGTCAAAGTATCTAGAAACACACTTCAGGTTTCTGAGCGAGTTCATACCTCAGTGTAAGGTAGGCAGCTGTAGGTATCTAGTAATGCTTCCCTCATGTTCTAAACTTTCATGTGAATGATGAAGTAGGGTTGTTTCTCTGAGAGGCACTTCACAGTGAAATGAAGAGTCAAGCTTCAAAGCAAATTGGATGTTACTTAGTGTCGACTTTTCAATTTAGAATTAATCCTCAACTTGTATTAGATGTATATGTTGATTGAAATAATTTGATTGTTACTGGAGAAATTATTTTTACATTATCCATTCTTTTCTAATGTTTATACTTTTTTTTTCTTTAAATGCTTGATGCCTGAGACTGGAACTAAGTGAAATTAGATGCTTGAGACACATAGCCATTTGCTTGTGGTAACGTTGGAAGGAGGTTGAAGCAGAAAATGGTAACGTAACACTATGCAAGTAAAGCATTGCCAGTAACCTGTAACTAGGCAAGCTTGCTTTGGATTTTGCCTCAAGTTTAAATTGTCTTGTGGGTATCCCATGCAGGAGTGACTTGCAAGTGTTACCCACCATTTACTAAATGCTTCTCCAACAACCCAGAGTCTATGACCCTTCTCACTTTGTACTGCATACAAATGTGCCATAGAACAGACATTATTTTCGTTCTCAAAGGGAATTTTGTAGCCATGGTCCTTTATTCTTTTCTACAGGATCTTTAAATCATTTTCTTAGTATATATTAAAGATATAAAAGTGGGTTTGACTAGAACAGTCTTGTGTAACATGGGCGTAATGTGGGTTTGATGGGCAGTAGCATGGAAGGACGTAGATGAGAATGAAAGAAAGATGCTAAAAGGAATTAAGAGGGAGACTGGGCAAAAAGCATGAAAAGGGAGCAGAACAGCAGCAGAAGGTACGGAGAGAATTTATTTAGATTTCAAAATATAACTTCAATTCTTTTCAATGTTCTGTTTAATGAACTAGTGTCATGTCAAATCTCAGTTTGATTAAAGCTCATTTTAGGTAGTCCTTTCTGGATTTCTGGGTTTCCTCAAAAGTATGACTGTTTAACTCTTTATTTCAAATGTACTGAAAGAGAAACTTTCTAGGGAATTCACTGTTCAAAGAACTATGGTAGGGAAATGAAAGTCTTCATGCCCACTGGCAGTGATCTTGATACACAAGTGTTTGCTGCTGACCTAATTGTACTTTCTAGCAGATACCTGCAAGCCTCCTGCCTAGTAGGATCAGCATGCTTTGGAGTCTGTTAGGAGCCTTGGGTGACCAGACTGGACATTCTGAGTTGAATGCTGCTTTCTAAAATTCTCACTTTGAATTCAGCCTGTAGTAGATCACAGAGTGTCTTGTAGTGATAAGAGACTTAAAATGGTAAGCACAGTTGTTTCATAACTGTACCAGAATTGTGAATATAAATACTTCATTCATCTTCCTTCACTTGAAATAAAATTTAAAAGATTTCTGAGTTTAATAATGTACTTTTGCTGAAAAGGCTTAACAAAGAACATGCTTGATTTTTCCAAGTCTGATAACACTGTTGATCTACCAAGAGTAAAAACAAGCTGTAACTTAAGTGTTTGTGACACCAAACTTACTTCAGTCGTTTCTTTAACCCTTGTCGTCTGAAACTGTACAGCAAATGTTTTGCCCTACTTTTAACTAAGAAGGTAAGGATTGCAGAATGGGAAGATAATGATAGATTGTCCTTTTTGCCCTTAAGTTGTCATTAACTTTCAAGTGAAATTGCAGGGAAATAGCAAGGATTATTAATGTGAAGTGAAACTGAACATTTATTTCTTGCAAAAAATACAGATATATGTGAATGTTAGCACACAGCATAATGTCCAGTGAGATACAAGTTTATGAAAGTTATGCTCTTGCTTTCCTTGTATTGTTAACTGAATTATGTTATGTTTGCACACTATACTCAATGATCAATATTTTAAATATCATGGCATGTTGGAGTATGGGGTGATGCACCTCTCAGGTGCAAAACCAGGACAAAAATGAAGAGGGAGAATATGTCTTAAGTGCTTTCAGGAACAACGCCATTTTACACATTCACAATAAAACACAGAAACTGATGTAGCTGTCAACCAGAATAATTGGTGTAAAGTAAGGATTCTGTGGAATAACCAGTGAGGGGAAATACATGTAGGAGAAAAGATACTGCTGCTGTTCTTGTGAAGGACTTCTAAAATGTAGGATTTGACTGTTTCCTTCTTTCCTGTGTCTCCTGTCTCACTCAAGCTTTTAAAATAAGTTTAGAGAGAATATAGTAATGCAGATGTGTTTCTACAGTATAAGAGATAAAGAAAAGAAACAGTGATGTCTCTGTACCTGTATGAAAAAGCATACTTTGATTAAAACCTGAACCACAGAACTCAGTTGTTACTTGTTCATGGAATATAAGGAGTTGAATTAAAATTACTTCCTTCAGGGACATGGTCTGGTGCTAGTCTTCTTTGCATCCCCAGTTCTGAAAGCAGGCCACAGTTTTCACATATATTGTCAGTGTTCACTCACAGTCCTGTTTACACATTTATCAGAAGACTTACTCAAAACTATATTTCTACATGAAAATATGACCCAGGTATGGACAACAGATCTGTGTCCAGGTTCTTTTCTGCATTTTTTTTTAATTTATTATTTGTTTGGTTTTGTTTTGGTTTATTTTTCTTCAGCTCAGAATGTTTTAGATATAGATAGGCCATCATGAAATCACCTTCTGAACAAGAGTCCTGCTTCCAGAGTTTGGTGGCAGCATCATGTTTTCTCTTTTTAAATCAAGTTAGACTATGGGCTATCCTTGTAACACTATAACAGCATTACTAAGTTCCACTGCTGAGGGTTACTTTGCATCAGCTTCAAAGTCTGAATGTGTGAAGCCAAACTGTGCATTTCAGCTGTTAACTTTTCTATTACTGCTTCAAAATCTTTCATCCTGTGTGTTTAATTTCATCTTACTAATTCCTTCTAGCTTTGCAGCAAAATCGAGGTCCCTTATATGATGTGTCTGTCCTTCGATGTTTCTTCCAGAGATCAGCTATTTGATGAATTCCTACTTGGCTTGTACAATATGGCCTAGGTAATGAGTGACTCCAGTGGAAAACATTACTTTTTTCAGGATTTAAAGCATTGGAATAAGTTTGTCCTGGAAACCTTCTGTAAGAGTAAATGGATGTTTTAATATGTTTTGTCACTTTTAGAGGTCTTGACATTTTATCAGGTTAAGGATTAGTTGCTTTTATTCTGAGTAACTAGCTCATTATGGTCTTGCTGCAGGAAGATAATGTAACTTTCTACATGTGAAAAAACTTTCAACCCCCATAGCAATTTTTTTTTATTGTATACAAGCAAATACAAAAATATGATCACATCTCTAAATAATTCTCCTTTGTTCATGGATCCTTTTACTACTTTTCTGTTTTCTTTTTTTTTCCCTCCTTAGATCCTGGATATGAACATTTTAAGATAGCAGAAAAGTCCCATGGTAATTGGATCAAACTGTATTTAGAAGGAAATAATTCAGAAGTACTCTTAAATCTTGGCAAAAAGGTCCTGAAGCAATATTTGGAGGCCCTGAAGACTCTGAGTTCTTCATTAAGCAAACAAGTTGCACAATATGACATGTATTCGATGATGGTGGGGACTGTGATCATTATGGAGGTACAAAAATATATCTTTCTGTGAAAAAACCTAAGTGCACAAACATAAGTTTCTGCTTTTTTTCTGCTTTTTGTCTGCTTAATATATTCCTACTGGTTTTTAGAATTACTGAGTATGGACTCTTAGTTGGCTGACTTTCTGCTTGGATGCAGTTAATGTTTTTTGCAAAGTACAACTTAGCCTTTAAAATGATTCAAGAGAGCTTTTCATATAACCTACTTATGTTTTGATGTAACTAGTTACAGTAGATATGCAAGTGTGCTACAACAGATTACTCCCATACTGGTTAGCCTCCTACTTTTTGAGTAGCCTTACTGCATTAAAAAAAAAAAAAAAAAAGCCTGGCAAATAAGAAGTAAGAAGTAGGTTCCTACATGTCTGTCTTTAACAGTGTGCCTAACTGCTCAGAACACACAATCCCTTGTGTGGGCAATTTGGACAATTCCAATAGTTGTTCCTTGTACTGATATGTGTAGAGCCCTGAAATAAATACTTGCTGTAGAGTGCTGGCTTGCCACTTCATATCTCATGTAGGAATAAAGATAAGATATCCTATGTCTGGAATTTTAAGTGGTTCTCCGTAATTGGTATTTTGGGCAAATCGCAAATGCTGGAAATACCCTCTGTGTTAATGCTTTGAAAACCACGCTTAAACGGATACTGTGCCTGGACACTGAACATTTATGTACAGAGGGTTGAACTGACTTTTTAGATGACACAAGTGTCAACTTTTGTGAGAACAAGCATTGTTCCCTGGGATCAAAATACCTACTACAAGCTTAATTTAGTCCTTGCATGTGTGTGGTGCTGTCCAAGACTCTGTAATTGCTGTAGCACTGGTCCTGTTCAGTGCCTGGAATGGCTAACAGCACCTGAGCAGCTATTTAGTGTTTGAGTCTACTTTGTCCTGGCAGGGATCTGTGCTTTGTCTTGTATGCAATGTTCTCTGTGTACAGTGTACATCTGAAATGGGTTTCTGGTAGACTGCTTGGTGGGGTTTATCACTCTGCTGACCACTTCAGAGGAGTTAGTTCCACAGTGTCCTTGGGAGATGAGATGGTGGATTCTGTTCCTGCTCTATAGAAGGCAAATGTGGAGGTGAACAAAGCTCAGTGCAAAGCTGAAGTGCTTATTTTTTTGTTTTGTTTAATTGTTTTAGGAACCTATGCATTCGAGCTCTTAACAGTTACTTTGAACTTGATGCATTTGATTTTTTTTTTTTTTGATTTTTTTTTTTCTGGAATGCAATTGTGGGTGCTTACTGTTTCTGTAAAACAAATCTCAGGTATTTTACTCAATGGGCCTTCATCAAAAGAAACATGCAGCTACTAACCATGAAAATATCGGTTGACAAGAGCTTGCTCAGCATTGCTGTAAGACTTGGTGCAAAACTGCTGGAGTTTTTCTTTTTGACAGTGCAGTACTCAAGAAACTGCTGTGCTTTCCAAAATCTTCTTGTTTTGATATGTATTCTTCGCTCCCATTGAATGAAAAAGGGTAGGGAATCTCACGGGTAACTTCATACTACACCATGCTATAAATGCCATTTATCCTGTACTTCAGATGAGGAGAATACCTCTGGGACATGAATTGATAATAGTGCATTTGCTCAAAAGAGATAAATTTAGATTTGTAGATAACTACAATTCAAGCATTTTCCTATCATGTGTGCTGTCTTTGTTTTAATTGTAAGTGCTGTGTTAAAAGGTAAGACCTAAACTAGTTTGATACTGTGAAACCTCTCATTTTCATAACCAAGTGAATTCTGTGAAGTAGAATATGAAGAAGAGGGAAGACTACTGCAATGCACTGGATTTTTTTGGTCTACTTCACTATACTTCACTGTACCGTGGGAAGAATTTTAGGCAGAGGTCTTCACAATCGGCAGTGAAAGATGACAAGTTGTTGATGGTCTGATGTAGTTGTTTTTATCCTGTTTGTTTTAATCTTGACCAAGCACAAGATGATTGAGCTCAGGCTAGCCCTAGCTCCACCTGTGCCCCTTGCAAAGCATTTTAGCATGTGACTGAATTTCCCCTTTACTTATAAAGATGGGTAGCAGAAATTATTCATTATATTATTCATCTCCACTGCCACAGTTACCTGAGAGGAGGCTTAGAATACTGCCTGATCTGTGTGCAGGTCAGAGCAAAGCACAAGTAAAACCAATAAATCAAATTAAGATGAAGAGAAGTGCAAAGAATAAATACCAGGAAAATTCATAAACTTGAAATGTAGCATACACTTGTGTAATAGTATGAGAACTTTCCCTGGTCTAAGAAGGTGTTTAACTCAGGAGGATCTCTGTGTATGTGTATCTCAACACATTGTGAAATAAAAGGCCTTTGGCAGAGTATGTATGTAACTTTAGACATTTACAGGTGACAAATATTGGGCCAGATTTGTTTGCTTAGGAACTATTTTGATATTGGGAGTTAAAACTCTTACTCTTGCAGGGAATGAAGATTATGCATGTGATCAGTTACCACAAGTGAGGAGGTGCATGGTAATTTATTAAACTCTGGTAGCTTCTGTGTCCAAGCCCTTAATAAATGAAAACACAATCTTTGATTCTCCCATTTGTATGATAATATCTTGCTGTCATCAAAAAATCCAGCATAGTTTTTCACACTATTTTTTTTTTAATGAAGTAGGTATACTAGCAGAGCCACATGGATGATAATGGTATGATTTTTTGTGCGAATTCTCGCTGTATGTTTTAACTAACCCCAGTTCTTTAAGTATTAATTCTCTTATTCTTTTCTAGGTTCTGATGCTGCTTTTGCTCAGCATTCCAAAAGCACTGAGCAGCCAGGCAGAATTTGAAGTGCCCCTCTCCCCTCCACTATTCTCTCTGCTGTTTTACTTGATGTGTCTGATGCTGTGTGCAGTTCATGTCATTGTATGCACGTCGGCAGAAAGTTTATGCTACTTCTGCAGTATGTCCTGGTTAACAGCAGTTGGAGTCATGATGCTGATTTCCGCACTCATGTGTGGTATTTTATCTGCTACTGTAAAGATCTTTGAGAATTCCAGACTTTCACTGAAGGTGAGAGCAAACATTAATTATGGTTCAAAATGTTTTACTCTTTATGGCATACTTTCAGATAAAGTTTTAGAAAAGTTTTCTCACATATACTTAAAGAAATGGTTATTTGTAATGTAATGTGAATAATTTAAAATTCTAATTGTTCACTGTGGCATGATACTGATTACTATAATGAAGATCATAGAAGTGCTCATTTTCACTTTAAGAAATGTTCTATTTAGTGTAAATTATTTTGCAGTTGTTTTTATGAGATCAGAAATAGTTACACTGTGCACTGATTTTATGCTGTTACAGTGAAGTTTCACAATTGCAATTAAAGCAAGATTATAGTATTTTGCAACACCGATGATGATCTGTCCTTTCCTAAATACCACTGACATTAATGCTGTAAGACATTTAATAAGAAAATACGTTGCCAATACCCTTTCTTATATTGGTATTCTTTATGCTTTTTAAAAAATAGTCTTGAAACTGTAACAGAGGGAGCAAAATCGCTCTCTCTCTTTCTAGCTAAACTTTTAAAGTTTTTTAAGTTTAAGAAATTGAGTTTGTTACAATCTTTGGAATGCTCAGAAATGTTCTCAGTTGTGCAAGTAGTTATCTTCTGTAAAGTACTTGTTGAGTTTTATTGTTGCATTGAATAGAATTCAGGTAATTACAAGGAAATAGAATTTGCAATGTCTTACTCTTTCACTGTAAAACAGTATGCTAAGAACTGTCAGTCATACCATAAAATCAGCTGCTAGCTGATTTTTCTGATGCTTATTAGTCATATCTTTCAAAGGTCTCTGAAATTCAGTAACTTTAATGCTCATAGCACTTTAGTCAATGGTGAAGCCTCTGTGCAGTACCGTACAGTCCTTTGTCATTCTGGGTTTCTTTGAATCATGTTTGGGGTTTTAGTACCTTTTTCTTTTTTTTGTTTTACTGTGTAACAATGTGTGGCAAGTACGTAGCTTTAATGACATTATGACATATTCCTTCAAGCTAAAAAGCAGACTGACTTAGACAAACATTTAATAACCACTGTATTTTATGATTTTAAAAATTTACTGCTGCACTTGTGGAGATTAATATTGCACTATATGCAGCTATATGCTGTAATTCCTGAGTTTAAGTATAAATTTATATTCTTATAAGTAAGACTGCTGATTTTTTTATTATTCAAATTACACTAGGTTATAATTTTATTTCTGTAATTTCTGAATTTGTGTTTTTCCTTCTTGGAAATGCCACTTTTCTGGGAGAAGCCTTGAACTAAGAGTAATGCCCTTCTCTCCTGAAGACAGCCTGTTATTGATTTATAGACTAAAATAGAGTAACAAGTAAGCTAACAATGTCTGCTTAATAAAATCAGGGAATGAAGTTTAATATCAGGTATAGCTGCTAACAGAATGGTCTTTATAAGCTTAAATCATGGTTTTCTTTTTGTACTGAAATTTTTTGTGTCAAAGTAGTATTAATGTTTTGCTGCCAAAACTGGTGATGCTTGTGGGGTTTTGTTTGTTTGGGGTTTTTGTTTGGTTGTTTTTTTTGTTATGGGAAATAAAAGAAGTAAAATTAATCAATGTGAATGGAGAAATCTGCTGAATGAGATGTCTAGTTGTACAGTTTATTAACACTGTTGGTACTTAGGGGGCCTTGTTGGTCTTTAAATGGGCTCAGTTCACTTCTGCCATTTCTGAGTTGTTCCACTTCAGGCTGTTATTAGCTTTCTGTATTTTATTGTAAATGAGGTATAAATTATTCTTAGAAAAAGTAAAAGAATATGGTCTTGAAATAATAATTAATGACCCAGTGTATTCTGTAGAAACATAACATTTACTTGCTGTGCAATGGTAAACAAACACAACTGTGGAAGACAAGCTGATTTTTCATCTTAATTGTTACCCATTTTTCTAATTCTAGCAAACAGGAAGAACCTAAAAATGATGACTGTGTAGACCTGCGTAAAATTTACAGATGTTCCACTTAAACAGAGTTGAGAGCAGTGACAGTGGATTATAGCTTTCTCCTCCAGGGTGATAGTCTCAAAGCAATTCATTCTGTCTGTGACCAGAAATCTTTGTTATATGCCTAAAGATGAGTTAATTCCTTGTGACATTCCCTACTGTAGGAGTAACTTTAGAGTAAATTTGCATGACCTAGGGAAAATGCTTTGCTACTAGATCAAAGACTGAGGAAGATGCTGCTCTTCCTTGGCTATTACTAAATTTAGAATAGGCTGTTACCAAGTATTGGTTGACAGGTATGACCTCTGCCTTTTTTAGTTTGGCCTAAGTCTTAGGGTTTCATTCCCATCTGTTCTTGGCATATTTTCATCCTTGTTGGTGAGAGACAGCTGCTGGTGTGAACAACTTCCTGCAGATGGTTTGTATATTGCTAATACAGCTACTTTGTTGATGATCACAGCAGCAATTGCAAAATGTCTCCTGGTATTCAAAACTTGAGTTCGATGGAAAGGCTTTTCTTATGAATGCAATTAGTTGCTAGCTCCCTGACAGAGGCAAATAATTCTTCAAGGAACACATAAAAAGAAGCATCTCTATAATCCATTGCTGTTCCACTTTTAGAATGAATCTTTCTGAGGAAATTGAGAGGAAGAAGTGGCATTTTGATACCCCTAATCTGTTGTTCATTTCTGATTATTACACCTCGTCAGTTACACTTAGGGAACATGGACAGGAGTATGTGCAAGAAGTCTATCTATCCCTTCTGTCCTTCCCCACTTTTTCATCTGTACATCTGTCTTTGAGGACAAACTGAACAAAACCCAACAAACTGATTAGAAATTATATCCATGATATTGTATCCAGTTTCATATCTTTGCCTCCAGCACCCCACATTCAGCATGTGAGAGACCACCAGAGTAGCTGGAGCTTTCTCCCTAGTTGATGCTGGAGCTTTAGATTCAATCCTGCGTTGTTTGGAGAAGGATGTTTCTGCACCAGTTTGTCTCCTTTTCCTCTTTGGTACTAACTATGAGACCATCTGGAATTCAAGAAGTAGAAAAAAAGCCTTTTATTCACATGTGAAATTTGGTGTCACTGGCAAAAACATTTCTGTCATTTTAGTGTCTCTTGAACATGAAGATGCTTATTTTCATGTCACCTTTGAAAATATCTCCATTTGGCTGTAATGGAACAGTTATAGATTCAAGCATTTCCTGTTTAAACTAGAAAGGTGGGAGAATATCTGAAATTGCTGCATACATGTTTTCTGGAGTTTTAGCTAGTTGTAACCTCAGGACATGCCAGCAGATGATCTGATTATCTTCTTCAAGTTGATAATACATGAATGAGGAGGTTTTCAGCGATGTTTTCCAGAAAGTTTGTGTGTTTGTTTTTCCAAGACTGGGGCAAGTAAAAGTAAAAAATACTGGATTCTCTGTCTGAGGTCTGTCTGTGGTCATACTCCTACCTGAGACACATCTGAAAATGTGGGAAACCAAAGTATGTCTTACGAAGCATAGATGATAGTAACTCTAGTTGGGGCAGAGACATGACTTTATCTCCAGACCTCTAGAAATCCATTTCCATCATCCCATCTTCAATCCTATTTCAAGGGTGACTGGATTGCTGGATATATATCTCGTCTCGTCAGTGAGATAGTCTTTGCTGTCTCTGTTCAAGTTCCAAAGCAAGCTTTAACTGTTTTGTAGGTTTCCTTAATAAGTTCCTCCCTTCCAGACATGTGTAAAAGCAGTGACCTGGATTTGATTTACTTGTTACCAGTCTCAGGGATGTGGCAGAATGATGTTTTTTTGCAGGTGGCTGCTTCTACAAAGGTAAGAGCCTGGAGATCGTGAAAGGCGCAATGGATAATCCAGTGTTGCTTGCAGTGTGGATGTGAGATGTTATTTACTGGTTACTGGGACACAAACACTATAATTTACAAACATTCATGTCTCAAATTCCAGCCTCTTTTCCAGTACCTAGACTTTGGGGGAGAAACTGTTTGTCTGTATATGCTGTGTGTTGATCTTGAAGGGCCTTCTATGCAAGGTAGGAGTATTCCTTATGCCAGAATATCTCTGAAGCTAAGTGTCTGTGACATCTGTGGCATCTTCACAGTGTGAATCTGTGTATGGGCTCCACTTCTGAAAGAGCTCTGAAGCCCTGCTCTTCTGATGGCAGGAGAAGAATCCTTAATCAGGGTCTTGCCAGTTAAAAAAGCTAAAAGCCTTTTCTAAGCTCATGCTATACGATAAAATGTAGGTATTTTTAAAGTAATTAAGATAAGCTCTCCTGCTAATGGCTTCAGAGCTTTTTTCCTTCAAATTGTTTCCGTTCACATCTAAAGATCTCTCTGAAGTGCTTCTCATTTGTAATGCTTTTTTTCCACTGTGGCTGAATATAGAAACTGATTACCAAGTTCATGAATTTTTTGAAGACCAGTGCAGGCAGTGTTAGCAGCTGCTTCCTGACTGTTATTTATAGGTTCTGATTACTATGTTTCTAGCCTCACTAGTCGCTTCTTTTAATAAAACTTCAGGCTTTAAATAGTTCTGCAGCCCTTTATGAATTCCAGAAAATCGTAGAAAAATTTAGCTTCTTGTTCATAGCTTCACTCTAGTTGCTTGGTAGTTGACTTAAGTATGGTATTTACTACTAGTAGTTGTATTTTTTTCCTACTTCTGGTAGAAGTCAAAACCAATAGTTTTTTGAAAGTAGAACACAAGAGTTAAAGCCTGTCAAATACAGCTTTTGAGAAATTTTCATGGTGCAGAATTATAGTGGTTTTTTTTTAATTACATAAGCAAAAGGTCCCTCTGTTTATTTTAAAATACCCTGTTCATTTTAAAATATTTTTTGTTTTTCCTCCTCTGTGTGATATTCTTTACTGAATTGAATGATAAAACATTTTTATGCCACTGTACCTAAAAAGTTTTTTGAATTTTTTGACTTGTGGGGGGAAAAAAAGGGAGTGATTAGATGATACCTTTACTGGGTAGCTTTCAAAAATGATCCCAAGCTGCTGTGAAAATGTAGAAGGAAGTGTGTTCTGTAGTACTCTCATAAGAGAGTTACCATTATTTTGGGAATCAAGACTCAGTGCATGGAGCTCAAATATCAGAACAGAACAGAGTGATAAGTATTTAAATTTTTAAGCATGAAAAATAAAACATTTCTCATCTGAAAACTGATTGTAAAATTCCTCGGGCACAACTATGTATGGTTAATTTTTGTGGAAGAATAACTTTACTCTCAACCATACAGTAGCCACATAACTGGAATTGGACCAAGAAGGAAGACTACAAGAAGTTTTATTTCAAAGTAAAGAAAATCTAAGTTTTGTAGGCAGACATGCATATATTCCATTTTTTATGTACTGGCATTTCTGCAAGCTAGCAAGATGTGTTCACATATAGGGCAAAGAGGTCAGTTTGTGTATTACTTAATTACTAATGCTGATACATCAAATGTTAAAGCTACCTTGGCTTGGCAGATTATGGGCTTAAATTGCAAGCCTGGCTTTTATGAATTTCTAAACCAAAGATTCTGTTGTAAGCTTGTTTGACAAGATACTGGTATGAGTCATACGAGTCTTTTGGTATCTGGAGTACCTACTGAGTTCTGAGGGTTAGAGGTGTTCAACAGCTAGAAGGACAAAGCTGTGAATATCAGAGTAGGACCTACATTTCTGTGCTTATAAACGAGATCTAAAAACTAAGTGCAATCTAAGTAGTCTAAGGTCAGAATGTATAAAAAACTCATGATAGCATTCCTAATAAGGCACAGTCCATATATGAGAGATTACCAGTAAATTTAGAAAATCTTGATTAAGCTATTTTCATTATTTCTTAGATCATGAAGGCTCAGGAAATTATAATTTGCAAGAAAATTTTTCATTTTGCATAGCGACTAACTCTGATCTGAAATGTCGTTTAGCAGTAAATACCATTGGACTTTAACTCTTTGATGTGAATGTAGGAGTAAATTTTTTTCTCTTTTCTCTAGAGTTGTGAGTCAGACAAGCAGGCAAGAAATATGGATTTCTGACAATGGGACATTTTACACGAATGGCATCATTTTCATGAGGCTTTTGCTCTTTCCCTGTTGATAATTCATCACCTCTTCAGTTTTCCTATCAGTGCTGAGTGCAACGAGATGCAAGAGAGCAATCCTTATATAGATTTTATGTTACGTCTTATAAAGTAGACAAGTGAATTCTATTGAAGACTATTTCATTCTCATTTGTTGAGGATCTCAGATTCATTTGTCTCTGCAAACAAATAGTGCTTACATGCTCGCTTATTATTTGATTAGCCGAGATCTTTAAGGTCGGCATGATGGAATTATTGAAGTTTAAACTTTCTGTAGTTTAGTCATGTACTGTTCTTGTCTCGGCATTGTGAATTTAATGGTCTTTCATCTCTGCACAGACTACATCTCTACCTTGTCCTTTTCTTCTAGAATGTAGCTTATGGCATTTGATTTTCAGAGTAGAATATTAAACAAAAAAAGTGCTCTGTAGAGCACCAAAGGCTAGTAAATTTAGATTGGGCCTGGGCAGTTTTTCAGATGGTAACTGTTCTTGTGCTAATTTTTTAGTGTTCCCCCCCCCATTATTTCTGTGTGCAACCTCATGGGTTGTTTCTGGTTTTGTAGTTTTCGAAGTGAAGTGAAGTGAAGTGACTTTAATGTAATATATTTCGGTAACAACATAAGAAATGGAGGTGATGTGAATCGGTGATAACTTTAACTATACCTCCTGCATCCTTTCACATACATCTTATAAAATCTTGGTTTTGCAAAAGTTGTTTTCCTTAAAGCAAAATTCCAGTTAGTGTTGACTAGCTTATTGCATCAAGAGTGTGGATTGTCCTCTCCATGCTACATTATCTTGCTTATTGAACAAAAATACATAGGCTGCTGTCAGTAAGACTTAAGCATAAGTGAGACTTGCATCTAAGATGCTCAGGGATATTTGTGGTGTTTAAACCCACTTTCTTGAAAGTTACCTGCTTTAAGGTTAGTGAGTTTCTATATTCTTTTAGCAAATTATTTAAAGAATACAGGAATCATAGTGCATTGTGCATCTTTGAATGTGAGCATGTTTTCTGTAAGATTTCTCTCTATGAATATTCAAGGTATTTTTTGGAAGTTTGTTCATAAGGTCAAATGTAGGAGGATAATGTGGTTGAAGTGTACAGTTAAAGAAATTAATGTGAAAGTACATTCAGAGATCTTTGTTCTGAAGTAAAAATGGCATGCAGTAGTTTTGATTTGGCTTTTAAGTTGTTATCTATCAGGTGTTTAAAATACCAGTTTAAGAGATAATCTCTGATATTCTCTAAGAGAGGAAAGATTAATGAGAAAACAAAATGTTAAAGGGTCGTTTTTGACAGCATCTTTCGCAAGATGCTTCACAAGTACGTAACCCCATTTGTTAAGGTATGTTAGGAAGCCCCTGCTGTCTCTGGTGGCTTCCAGGGCTAGGGCGTCCTATGTTTCTGCTGGAGCCCAGCCTGGGCTCCTGTCCCCACCTCCGGCTCAGATTTTGAGTAGAAGTTAAACAGACAGAGGTCCCTCCAGTCAGTGGCCTTGTGACCTCTCACACATTGGCGCGCGCTCTGGGCCCTCCAGTTTCTGATGCAGACCTACAAGCTTGGGGATCCATGGTTGCTTTTCCTGCTACTGACGCCCTGACCTCTGTTGCACTCTGATCCCTCTAGCTGCCTGCATCTTGGGTGCACAGTCCCAACGGCCTGTGATCCCCACTCCAGTCCCTGGCACTGGACATATGAGTTAGTGACCCATATTCCCAATTGGGTTGCTGGTGTTTGCTTTTACTCGCTCTCATCTCAAGTTGCTGGCGTGCAGGCTTGACCTCAGTTACTTGCAGTGAGACCTTGCAGCACCCACAGGTGGGACAGAGAGTGGAGTTGCACAGAGAGATAGTTAATAAGACAGGCTATAGACCATGGTGGTCAGGCACAGGGCTCAGTCAGAGAAGTGTGCTGACTGGCACCTGCTTGTGTGTGACTCTGGCCCCTTTATCCTTCCTCCTCTCACTTTACCCCCTGCCCCCAGCCTGTTCCTCACTACCCCCTCGCCCTGCCTTTGACACTTCCCTGAAGCATTGCTTAATGAGTTCGCATAGATCCACAGGCGCCCTTAGATATCCATAATACTCGCTTTCTCCTTATCTGTGACAAAATCCAGGCTGATGCTCTTCAGAGCTGTGCCTGTGGTTTCTTAATGGCCTGTAAATTAGTGGCTGAAGTGTTTTGGTCATCTTTATGGTCTCCCTTAGTGCTTGCTTATCAGGTTTGTGTCTCTGTGAGGTCTTTTTATGGCTTTTTGTGTTACTTTGTATTCCCTGTGAGCTGAAAAGGTCCTTTACTTGATCAGGTCAATGAACCAGATGCTGTCACCTTCCACATGCTCTTACACTGTCTTTTTAGCTGTATCATGGAGGGCAGTGGTGATGAGGCAATTCCAAGTAGCTGCTGTGGACAAGAAATTGAACTAATGGCGGCATTAGACAAAAAAATATTATGTTTTTAGATAGGCACAGCATGTGAAGTAAATAATAGATGGGTAAGGTTTAAAGTAGATTTTATCATGAAAGACACATTTTCAAGCTAAGCAATGTTAAGGGATGACATCAGGCTGTCTGCAAGTAACTTTTGTTAATTTGAGTAGTGAAGGCTGTCACTGTACTGAGTTGAGGAAAGCACAGATTTAAACTATTAGAAAATTACCTATTATCTGTATCTCAAGTTTGATTTTTGCAGGAATTCTATTTTTACTTTACAAATGTGCAACAGAGAGAGAGAGCATTTTTTCAAACCTTCTCTTACAGGGTGGTAGGGAGTCTTAATCTGTACAGTTGTGATGATTATTCATAGAGGTGTCATTTTAAACAGTATGATTATGTTGTGATCCTAGCTAAATAAGCAACAATAAAATGATTCTTTTATACATTTTTGAGATTTGTCAGCATCATAGAACCATAGAATGGTTTGGATTGGAAGGGACCTTAAAGATCATCTAGTTCCAACGCCCCTGCCATCAGCAGGGACACCTTCCACTAGACCAGGTTGCTCAAAGCCTCATCCAGCCTGGCCTTAAACACTTCCAGGGAGGGGGCATCTACAGCTTCTCTGGGCAACCTGTGCCAGTGTCTGACCACCCTCACAGTAAATAATTTCTTCCTAATATCTGATCTAAACCTACCCTCTTTCAGTTTAGAGCCATTACCTCTTGTTTTGTCACTACCTGCCCTTTTAAAAAGTCCCTCCCCAGCTTCCTGTAGGCCTCTTCAGGTACTGGAAGGACACAGTAAGGTGTCCCTGGAGCCTTCTCTTCTCCAGACTGAATGGTCCCAACTCTCTCAGCCTGTCCTAGTAGAAGAGGTGCTCCAGCCCTCCTGTGGACTCACTCCAGTAGGTCCATGTCCTTCTTATGTTGGGGGCCCCAGGTGGCAATAACTAGTCTCACTGTTTATTTTGTTTTCATAGAGGAAATTGCGGTAAGCACATTATGAATGCTTAAACAAGTGAAATCTTTATGCACTTTACCACTGCTATATTTTTTTGTTTGTCTGCAGAATACAGTTGTGTCTGGTTCCAGCTGGTCAGAAATAGATGTGCTGATTCTGGCTGGGACAAGTGGCCATGTTTTGAGTTTGGGGGCAAGCAGTTTTATAGAAGAGGAACATCAAACCTGGTATTTTCTTATCAATACACTTTGTTTGGCACTGTGTCAGGAACTTTGTAGAAATAATTTTCTTGTGAAAGAATGTGACTCTCAACATAGCACCACTATGAAACAAAATTTTGATAATATTAAGGAAACCTCTGAGTGCAAGAACATAGACATTCCAGCAGTAAGTAATTCAAAATTGGGCAAGGCCACGTCTTCATCTGAATTCATAAAAGGATCAGATAAGTGGATGAGCTTAGCAAGTCCATGGATCATCCTTATTTGCTGTCGGCTCCTTCGATCCTTGAATCAGACAGGCGTCCAGTGGGCTCATCGACCAGACTTCGGACACTGGCTGACAAGGTTGGTATCTGATTTATTGTCATACTTTCTGTCTTTTTTAAAACTTAATGTATGTTTGGTGAAATATGCATACATTTCTATACAGTCTCTGTTTAGAAAGTGATGTAAACATGCAAAGTAGGTAAACAGTGAAGCAACATAAGGAATTTTTCACTGCTATTTCATGCAGGAGTAATTCCTTGTGTACTATCAATAGTTTATAATCTTCGCCCTGCACCATGACTTATCTAATTAATGTTAATTATACACAATAGGTTTGTCAGAGGCAAAAGTAAATATTTTCCATGTGAAAGTCAACAGTGTCTGGTTTGGGAAATGAAAACTTGCTTAATAGAATTAAACCCTGAAAATTAAGGCAGAAGGTTCAGCTCAGTTCCAAACTTCCTGAAGTTGCAGGAGAAGATGCTGCACCAGGAGTTCTTCCTTGTCTATCACAGACATTTAATGTATGGGTGGAAAACTGAAGGAATTTATCAAGTGTATTATGATAAACAGAAAAGGGAATTTTTTACAACTTGAAGTACACTGGAAAGGGGCTTCTACTTTTTCTACTACATTTTAGTATTGTGAAGAACTACAGCTATTGTACAGTGGTAAAAAGTACTTGCATTTAAACTGTCTTCTGTACTTCGGCTGGTGGATGGAGAAGCAATACCTTGTGACTGACTAGTCGAGGTTTTGCAGACAGCAGATGTGGGGGCTGTGCTGTGTAAGATAAAGATACTTCTTGCCAGCATCTTACAACACGTAGTTGAAGTGTCATTCATCATTCATTAATAGTGACATGAGCAAATGAACTAATATGAGACTTGTTACTTATTGGCAGCCTCACAGATAAAATGCTAATTGCTGTGACAGGCATGAGTGTTGAAAGACAAGAGTTAAGAGGTAATTTCTTACATTATAGCAGTTGTTCTATACCAGAGGTTTCACCATGTAATCCTGCTCTTGAGATTAATCTTGAGGGACTGATGTCATATTCCCAACATTAAGTCCACATGATAGAGAGCTCCTTCATTATGAGCTAAGCCAGTGTGTGAGCAGGTTTAGGTATGTTTTGGTGTGACTGGGAGGATTTTTATAGTTAATCCTGAGCATCTTCCAAAGATTTTTTTGCCCAATAACTTCCTAAGCCAGATGTCTTCTTCAGACTGTCAGCCCTTTTCTTTGGAGTGTACTAATGCCACAGTGCCATGAAGCAGGGACTCAATATTCTTGCAGCTGAAAAATTGTGTTTGTTTCAGAGATGTGCTTTTGCTTGTATTGTTACCCGGGAATATTTACTAACACTTGGAAATGTTGCCAGCCTTTTAAAAATTGTGTGTGCATGCCTGGACTTAACTTCCAAAGATCCTGTCTTAGTTAAGTGTACTCCCACCTCTGATTTCCTGGTGCTAGGTATGCCTATAGAGCAGCAAAACCTGTTACAGCCTTGGGCTGTGGGGACTTAGGGAGATAGTACAAGTAGAATGTAGTATGCAGCTAGAGCAGGTGCTTTTAGGGCTTTGTGATTTATGACAGAAGTTGGGAATTCCTGTATGCCCAGCTCTAACACTATTGCCTGTCAGGAGCTTCCAAGCAACCCACTCAGGTAAACCAAGTTTGTTTACAGCTGTTCTGGCTTAGTTGTGTTTTGTTTTTTGGTTTTTTTGTTTTTTTTTTTTCCCATTGAGGAGAGAGGAAGAAGGAGAAGGAAGGAAGGAGGCTATTTTTGTGTTTCAGTTTTTCTCTCCTGTGAATTGGAATTGAATAGATGTGGCTGGAAAAATAACCCAATATGGGGTGGGAAACTCTTGGCTTTCAGATGGATCACTTCCCAGTGTGATTTACCATCCAGCTTCACAGGCAAATGGGCTGGCTTAGTAACAGGAATGCAAGAAGAAAAGAGCGTGCAAGCCAGCGCTGCTGCTGTTGAAATTCCTGTAGAAACAAAATGTGGAAATATCTGCATATTTTGAAGTGCTGCAGACATAAACAGTTTTTTATTTCAGCTGCTGTCCAACATTCCTTAGAAAAACTCACTTGGCTTTCAAATCTGATTGAGAAAGAGGTAATGATTCACAAACTTCTACTTTTGGGGGTTTAAAAAAGATTGTGGAACAGTCCAGAATGTTGTGCCATGGCAGGCTAAGAGGATGTGGCAGCAGGCCTGCCACAGTTCTGCTTTCTCCCTTTCATTGGTTTAACTACTTCTGTTGTGCTTAGGGGGCAGGTAAAAGAACGGAACCTTGGCATCCTTGGCACAGGTTGGCTGAGGCTGCTGTGGAGCTGCATCCTGACTTAAATCAATGGAGCAGTTTTTAGCCTAACAGGAGAATACAATATATGTCACCGTGCTGACATATACTTCAGTTGCTGTATAGGATTAAAATATTGCCCAAATAGCAGCATATGAAGTGTACAATTTTTGACTTGAGTGATGGCATGCAGATGAATTCTTGGGTCTGAAATGGTTCACTTGAAAAGCTTCTGAAAGATCAGTTAGTGATGCAACTAAATCTTTGCACATCCTGTGGTTTGTAGAGTACCTGGTACCAACTACACCAAATAGAGGCATGTCTGTGTTTGCAGGGTGAAGAAGAGCAGAGGGACCTGCCAGTGTGGATTTCAGAATATGTTGGCTGAAACCTACAGGGTACATACTATAGCAGACAGAATATGACAGAAGTATGCACTGCCACATGTTGCACCTGGAAACTGCTTGTGTGCTGCTGCTGTGGGAGGCATTAGACACAGCAAGTGCAAGCAATTTTCTGCATGGTGTAGCCCCCATCTATATAGACCCAATAGCAAACACCTGGAGCAGACAGTGCAGAGCAGAAGAAGCCAGCTTCATGCTCCAAACTCACATGTAGCGACCAGGGGCTTTGGAAGGGGGTTCCCTGTCCTCAGCGAGGAAAAGGGGCTCAGGATGCGTGCCCCTCTCCCTGCAAGCCCCCTTGAACCCAGACCTCTGGCTGCCCTGAGAGCTGTGCAGGACATGCCCCGGGACCTCAGCCATGTGACAAGTCTGCTGGCCATCTATTCTGATTTCATGTTTGGCAAGCATGCTTCCATTTCCTTTGGTTTAAGGTTTTAATGTATTTGTTGCTTCTCCTTCACTAGAGAATAGGGTGGTAGAGAAGTCTGTTTTCCTAGTGTTTTGATCAGGATTGAGACAATGTGTTTTCCTTAAAGCATAAATTAAAAGTTAGTGATAAGCTGAGTTGCATAAAGCACTTGTTCCTTTTCCCAAAATGCATTGCTAGTCTGTAAGGTTGATTGTTATTCGATTTTTAGTATGTTTAATTTGCATAGTTATGTCTTAATAACACATTTTTTAGTAATAAGAAATTAGAACCTTACTTAGATCACGTGTACCCTTGTTAGTTTGAGTTAAAGCTAAGTTTTTTTTAGCCAGCCTTCTATTTTGTCTCTAAGACAAACTAATGAACAAACTACCCTCTTTCCCCCCACCCCTGTATTGATGTTTTAGACTTCTGTGTTCATGCTCAGGCTAATGTTTTGTTTATCTGGACAGTGCTTAAGAGACTCAGCATTTGAGACAGAGAGACTATTGTGCAGGTTTGCACATAGAAAAATGTAAGTGGCAAAACACAGAAAATCAATCTACCCGTAGTGTCTTGAATTTGACTTTTAGGGATGCATTCAACAGTGCTGAAATAAGGAAAATGTTCTTTGTTATTTGTGGAGAGGCTCTGAAACCTGCTACAAAGAATAAAAAATGCTTTGGTGGGAAAAAGGGCAAAAGAAAATCAGGCAGTAGATGAAGAGGAAGAGAACATGCAATCCCTAAATTTGCTTGGAAATCAGGCTTTCTTTTCAATTAGTTGGTATTCAGTTAGCTTCATTTGGCTGTTGATACTCGAAAGGTGTCAGAGCTGCTGCTACATGGCTCACTGTGGAAGGGGAGAAGCTGTCAATAACAGTGTCAGCTTGAAGAGACGTGACAAGAAGCAGCAGCATGGGAAGATCATAATATTTTCTCTTAATAATATATTTAACCATCCCCAAATGCCCTTCCCCCCCAAAGCTAGCATACCATGTATACTACTGTACATAATAGAATGACAGTAAACAATTTAAAAAGGCTTTATCCACATAAAATATGAATCATGCACATTTATAATTCCTTTCACTCTACTTGTATTTGCAGTAGTGAGGTGAGATCAGAGCAGTGGTAGGAAATGTATTCAGTCTTCATTCTGATACCAGAAGTATGAAAGTGTAGACCACAACCACAAGCTGTTAGAGTAAGAATATATAGCTGAAGCTCTTTTTTTTTTTTTTTTTTTTTTTTTTTTTTTTTTTGAGTAGCCAAGGAGAATACAGCCTGAAAGCTTTTAAAATTTTTCCACAAAGGTTCACTTTAAAGATGCAGTGGCTACTACATTAGTTCTTTATGTGTTGATTGTAAGAAATAGTGCATGCACTACATTCACAGGTTGCTGCAGCAATCCATTCACACTTCTGTTGTCTCTTCCTGTAGAGGAAGAACAGTAGTGAGGAGAAACATCAAGGCTATATTTTCTCTCCCATTGTGTTCTAGTTCTTACTGGCCTGCAGGGAGCAGTGCATCTCTTGGGAGTCATGTTGAGTTTCATGAAGTGCTTGGCACTGTCTTGCAGGGAGGATGAACAGGACAATTCTTCTGACACATATTCTTTCCTCTGTGACTTACCAAGCACAAGAGTTGAAACAGCTATTGGTCAAACTCCCGATAAAGCATGTACTAGAGAATAGGAAAGTAAACTTGTTTGAAGTACTATAATCTCAATTAAACCACAGAATCACAGAATGGTAGGGGTT